GCCATAAAACAAACTTTATCATCAGACCACAGGTAATCAGTTAACATCATGTAATATGTAACCTACTACACCCCCTTGTGATGTAATGCCTTGCAAAATGAAGAAAACAAACACTCAGTGAAGGACATTTTATCAGGCAGGGTCATCAATCATAATTATAATCAGAGTGTATTACCTCACCTCTGCCTGATGGACGTCTGATTAAATGTCCCCTGGCTGTGGTGAATAATTGAATTCTGGGATGTCTGTCTGGTGAGCTCACACTAATAGTGATACAGACTTGATCTTTCGGCTTCTCTTTGAGCTCACCAGGTATTTTACTGAACTCTGGAATATCAGCTGTAATTGGAAAGAAGAAGAAAAAACACCAATTAATGGTAAAATAACTCGTTATGACACCTGAAATGAATTTTTGATCAAAGGGTAGCAGCAAATCTTATGAACCCATGTTTATGAGGCTGCAGAGAGCGCTGTTAATGACTCCAGTCCAGAGCGCAGGTCAGTCCGCTGCTGTACCCAGATCAGCCCTCCAGGTATCAGTGTTTTCACTGGCCAGAGTAAATGTAAAGACAGCTTGACTGAACTGGGAGAGTTTTGAGCGGTCCCAACTCAATTTACTTTGCAGCAAAGACCATCTGCAGGAAATAAAAGGGAATCTGAACAATGAGCTTAGAATTATGATATGTTGGTGATTATTGCTGTTTATCACTGAACATACATCCTAAATTGATCTCCTGAGGTGTTCATCAGTGCCTAACGATAACAATTTTCAAAGTGGTCTATCAAGATTAACATCCTTTTAAAGACAATGTATGTGATTTCATTAGTGAAAATTTAACATACGAATGAACAATTAAAATCAAATACATCTACTATAGGCATATCCAACCTATCGGATAGATAGCAAATCAACTGCTGGGTTGTTATCGTCGAAAAATGTAAACTGTAGGGTAGAGTGGGGTAAAACGCCCCCGTTTTTCCCAAAATAACGACTAGATAAAGACATGATACATTTTTGTTGTAACTTGGTGTAAGTGTTCACCATGAAGCTTACACTGGTGATGCACCTGAGAGAAAACAGATTTCCCAGTAAGTGATCTAATGTTCAGCAGTAAGAAAAAAGGTGTTTTAAAGGGTTCATATGATGCGATTTCTATTTCTCCTTTCTCTTTGGAGTGTTACAAGCTCTTGATGCATAAAGAAGATCTGTAAAGTTGCAAAGACTAAAGTCTCAAATCCAAAGAGATATTCTTTATAAAAGTTAAGAGTCAACCACGCCGACCTAAAACGGCTCGTTCTAACACGCCCCCACATGTCTACGTCACGATGTGGGAAGATTTGCATTATTTATATGACCCCTTTAAAGCTTGTTGTTTTGTAGAACATCACAGTTATTTATGAAATGAGAATAGTAAGGCCTAAGGAGTTTGTATTATTTAAGAAATATATAATTATATTTACAGAATGACAATTTTTTTTCAAACCTAGTCTGTGGGGTAAAATGCCCCCAGGGGGCGTGGCTTCATTACGATAGTTACTCTGTCCTGAACATCAAATCCTTTGTTTTTCCATCAAATGTACTGTATTTTAACTAGTTGGTTGAATAAAAACATTTGGACTTTATATTTAAAACTTACCTCAAGTTAGCATCAGGTAGCTAGTTAGCTAGCCAGTTAGCATGTACCAGCATGTAATTAACAATACTTTTCAAATAGGCTATAAAATGTTGCAATTCTTAATTATTGATTATATTCTTTTTCATTTTAAGCTAAAACTGCCTGTACTCTGATTTTGCTCTAAATTTATGAAGCAAATTGCTTTGTCAGACTGGGCGGCATTTTACCCCACCTGTGGGGCAAAAAGCCCACTTGGTAATTTAATTTTTGTTAAAAATGTAATAACATATTTTCATACTTGGTTTATAATTTATGTCAATGAATTTATGTCAATGACTATTCTGGACACATTTAACTTTTTCACAGAAGAAAATAAAATAAAAAATGACAGTCCTTAAGGGGGGCATTTTCCCCCATTCCACCCTAACATGAAAAGTTGGATAGTACATCCTTTTATACTTGCATATACTCACGTAAAACAATAAATCCCTTATGAAAATTAACCATGGTTTTATTATAGTAAAAGTGTACTAACCATGATTTTTGGCATATTGATTACCATTTGCATAACCAAAGTTATACTGTACCATGGTTAAACTAAGGTTAGTTTAGCAAAACCATGGTTAATTTGGGTTACCATGGTTTAACTATAGTAATCATTGTTTTGTTTTTTTGTAGTAAAACCGTGGTTAATTTTTGTAAAGGATACTATATAGCAAATCTCGTCTGCCTGATTGTTTTATCATCACAGAACTGTATTACCGCACAGCTTTGTATAAAATCGTAAGTGCCTGATTTTTCATTTTGTCACAAAATGTAACCATATCACCAAGCTCTTTATATAAAGGATATATAGCTTTATCCGCATACAATTAAAAAAAAACTCCAAAATTTGAACTTTATCACCCAGCTCTAACTGTGAATATAAGGCATGAAGATATTAAGATATTATCAAAATTAACATAATTTTCTTTAAAGTTGCTTTGTAACAATATGTATTGTAAAGAGTTATACAAATACATTTGACTTGACATTGGTCAGTTTAATAGTAAAGCTATTAGTGTAGTATAACTCAGTAGTTCTGTGTTGGTCCTGAAGTTTCCCAGCGTTGCTCATTTTGGATTATGTGACACCTGGTTAAGGCCCTTCAGCAGGAGTGTCAAAAGCTGCTCCTGTAGGGCCACGTCTGCATAGTTTAACTCCAACACTCCTGCCTGTAATTGAAGTAATCCTGATGACCTTCGGCTGAAAATCTCTTGTGTGTTTAATTAGGGTTGAAGCTCAAGTCTGCAGAAATGTGGCCCTCCAGCTGAAGGTTTGACATCCCTGTCTAGAGTTACTGTGAAGCTGATCATAT